AAATCAGAATGCAAAAATGAAGAAAGGAAAAGGGAAAGAAATTTTTATCAAACGAAACGAAACGGCGGCAAAGTAAGGCATTTATACGCCTGGAGCAACGCGTCATCGTCAATCGGCGGCAAGACCAATGAAAGACACTTTTCAAGCGCATCGCAGATCACGGGCCAATGAAGACAAAACACACAAGTGAAAGGAAACGGTTAGATGTGCATGGACAGCTCATGCGCGGTGGAGTTCATTTGGATTCTGTTCTCCGAAGAGAACAGCACGGCTTGAAAATGATTATCTCGACCAAAACAGCTTTTGAACCACTATCAGAACCAAGAAATATCGATATAGGTTCGCATCATCTCAGTATTGCGAGATATATAGAACCTAGAGGGCGAGTTTGTGGGGATATATTTCTGGTACCAAACACGGGCTAAGGTGACGCCCGACGTGTCAATCCACTCCCTCCAATCGGCATGCTGTGCAACGATCATCGAGACCCGCAAAAAGGACTCCTAGGCTAAGAAACAGAAGATAATAAATATTTACTAATAAAAAAATTTTGCACTAATCAAAGAGAAAACAGTGGGTCCTTGGGGGGGGGGTTCAACCCACTGGGGCTAAGTCTTTTTTCCAAAACCGAAGGCAAACGTGGAAATAAAAACAGAGAGAATAAATATTTACAAAAAAAAATTTGCACCGAATGCAAAAAAAAACATTTACTAACAAATAAACAGATATGAATAAGAAAACAGTGGGACCCTTGGATAAGAAACAGAGATAAATAAAAGTTACTAAAAAAAAAAAATTGCAGCCAATCAAAAAGCAGTGGGGGTCCTGGGGGGACCCTGAAAAATTTTTTTTGGGGCCCCGGCGAACAGCCTAATTTAAGAAATCTCTTCAACTATCAATTGTTCACAAGTACAAAAATATACATAGAGTATGATCAAAAAATAGAATAGTGTAAAAGAAGAAGATCACAAGGGCCCAACAACCCTAAACTCAAACAGCTACAGACTAGCTCATATCTCATCAACCCCAAAGCTGCATAAATTATATTACAAGTAGCTGGTTTATTTTATAAGCCATTCAAGAACCACTAACAGAAACTTCGCAAAATAAAATAAATCTCAAAATATAAAATATTATCAAAATTAATTATTTAATCCTATTTCTTCAATCAATTCCTTTCTGTTTCCCATCAAAACCTAGTTCTAGTAACTTCAAAAACTCAAGCAAGAGATCTAGGTGTCATATAATTAACATTTGGTTGTATTAACATGTAAGCATGTACCCAAGGAATTAGCATTTGCATGAGAATGTTCAGACTCCTATGGTACTGTTGGAAAAAATGGTTTTTTGGTGACTTTAATTAAATATTAAAGTGGGTCCCAACCATCTATTGTGAATGGCCAAAAAACATTGAGATTTGAATGAGAAATTACCTCATGAAGTTAGTTTCATGGAAAAAAAGGTAATGAAGTTTGTAACTCCTACATTAATGGGGTTTGTAACTCCTACATTAATGGGGTTTGTAACTCCTGCCTTTATTGCAGAGGTTAATGGTGCATTATGAACAGCCATAAAGGCTGGAGGCTCTTCCTCTCTCCCCTATACATGTATAAATTGAGACCCTCCTGTCAAGTCTCAAACACAGAAAATTTTTACTTCCATTTCACAAGTCAGTTTGCCTGAAAGTTCCTACAGTGAGAGAGTGCTGCTACTATTTTGTTCTCTAAGCTAGACAGAGAGTGCTTCTGCCGTAGCTGGTTTTGACCGTCGTATCCTGGGAGACAGATGCCGGGATTCCTCAAGCACTCGACCAGTGAGGCGGCGAAATCTGTTTTAAGGAAACTGCTTCCGTGCAGGCTTCGGTTTCGTCTCTTTACCCTTTTATTGTTTTGTGTATTTCTGTTAAAATTTAGTTGTAATTATTAGTATGTGTTCTTAGTATATATATATATAATTTGATTTCTTCATAAATCTATTTATTTAATTTCAAAATTTGAACAACAAATGTTTGAGAGTTTTAGAAAAAGAATTCTAATAATTCTAATGTATGTATGAGTTTCATCTGATGTGATATTTTGATCTTATATATTTTTTAAATTTTTTTATATCACTAAGCCTCCATTTGGAAAGTGGGTTGACTTTTTGACTTTTTGATTTTTTTGGCTATTTAGCTTGGGCTAAAAAGCTTGGTTTGGGAAGGAATTTTTGACTTTTTGATTTTTTTAACTTTGTTTGTGAGAGAATAGTGTAATGATTATGAATTGGATGTAATATTTTGTTTGTTGTGGCTAAAATAGCCTATTTTGTCTTTTGTGGCTATTTTAGCCACAAACCAACTTGCCAAACACCACTTAAGGCTTTATTTGTAATAACCTAAAAAAGTCAAAAAGCCACTATTCTATTTAAGTCACATTATCTTATTTAAGTCACATCACCTCTCTGCCACATTACTTCCAACCTAACCCATACCTAATTCATATTTCATAAAAAATCAAAAAATATATTTATTTAAATCGTTTCAAAAGCACTCCTAAAATTCAATTAGAACTCTAATTTAAAAAAAAATGTATTAAGCCTCCGTTTGGGAAGTGAGTTGACTTTTTGACTATTTTAACCTGGGGCTAAAAAGTCTGATTTGGGAAAGACTTTTTAACCTTTTTAACTTTTTTTGTAAGAGAGGAGCATAATGATTATGAATTAGATTTAATATTTTATTTTTTATAACTAAAATAACTTATTTAATTTTTTATGACTATTTTAACCTCTAACCCACCAAAAGTAACTTTCGAAACTATGCCTAAATAGAATTTATGAATGATGGTGTTGGGTGGATGGTGAAAAATGACAGCCAGTAATGGCCGAATAGCATGACATGGAGGCATTAGCAGGTACTCCCATGTACGAAGGGCGGGAATTCCTAGAAGCATGAAGCCGAATAAAGTATAGATGTTGCTGATGAGAAATTATTGATGGCTCTGGCACATTGTGGACCACATGGTTCTGATGTGGCATAATAATACATTACATGGCATATTATTATTGGTGTGAGGCACCACCACGTGGTGTTCAGGAACAATTAATAATTTTTGGTTGCTGATCAAGTCCGGATGGTGAACTCTACCGAGAAGAAATTATTCATTTCTTTTGACAATTTTAGGTGGCGCCCCCACACCAATCAGATTGTGAGGTGTTTTAGAAAATAGAAAGTTAATTTTTAATTTTTTATTTATTTTAAGTTACATTATTTTTCATATTTTTTATTTATAAAAAATAAAATACATTAAAAAAAATTAAAAAATTAACTTTCCAAAACACCAATATGTCATATGGTGCATAGTGTGACAAAATTATTAATGTGGCACCACATGACATTGATGTGGCAGAACTTAATTGATGTGAGACAAGACTAATGAATAACAAAAATGTTTGGAAGCATTAAAAATGGATCATTAGAAGGAACAGTAATGATGTGTTAGTAGGTTCCGTCCACTTTTTATACTTTATTTTTATTTATTTATTTTTTTATCATTTTTAATATATTAGTGTTATTAATGATGTATTTTTTAATGATCTAAATCATTGTTGAATGAATAATTTTTCCCCGCCTAGTTGTTTCTCTACAACTTCGAATTGTGATGCGAGTCACTTCAGCGAAGGACACGCAACTCAAGGCAATGATAACTTTTGACGCTGTCAGGCATCCGGATGCGTGTACCACACTCTTGAGAACCCTATAAATACCGAAGAGACTTCCACAAACAGGTATGCTTATTCATTCACAAATTTATCATACACTTTTCTTTTTAGGGTTTGAGAGGTGGTTAGTTTTTTAATTTTTTGATTATTTTAATTTAGGGTTAAAAAGTTTTATTTAAGATAGATTTTTTTGATTGTTGTAAAAGAAAAAATATAATGATAATAAATTGAATGTGACATTTTGTCTTATATAATTAAAAAATCTATTTTTGTCTTTTTGAAATTATTTTAACCAAAATAACCTATGCCAAACCAAAGCTAAAAAAGATAACTAACTAAGCTAAAAAAGATAACTGATTGACTCGTCGGAGTGTTCATCCGGCAACTCCTGTTGCCGGAGTTCTTCGTCGTTTATTGTGTTTCAGGTCATCGCGAGTATCTACCATGTTTGATATTGAAAATAGGAATAAATTCTGTTGTGTTTTTATTCTTATTTTTCTGATTGCAATTCATCTCAATACAACAATTATAGCATAAATCAAAATTACATATAAACCCACATACAAGAGGAGTCAAATTTTTAATCTCATAGTGAAATATAAGATTTCTAATCAACGAACTAACCTTGTTAGTTAAATTCATATAGGTTGACAATATATATGAAAAAATATTTTCATAAAATTACTGTAAAATCATTATAACTTTAATGGGACAAAAAAACATCACTAACAGTGGACGCAAATAGTTTTGGGTAAATACACCATCGCAAATTCGCAATAGCCTATGAGCAAAATTGAGACGAATTTTCCAAGTTATTGTGACAAAATATGTCAGGATCCAAAACCAACAAAAGTTAGCCTTTGCAGTGCCCCTGTAAATTTCAATGTATAGAGAAAGAGAATATTGTATATTGATATATTCAATATATTGATATTGTATATAATGTTCAGTTGAGCTCTCTCCTTTATAGAGGAGAGGGAAAACAAAAGGAACCTTACAAACCCCAAAGAATCGAAAGTAGAAGCACAAACCAAACAACATTATTAAAGGTATATTATTAAAGGTTTGACAGCTAATATATCTATATAATATGGAAGAAAGCTTTTTGAAAATGTCCCAAATGTATAAGAGATACATTTGGTTTTAAGGGCCAAGATGAATCCTGAGTTTAGATCAACGGCCAAGATGAATGAGAGATACATTTCCCACCCGTTTGAGTTCATCTCTCCCTCTCTCCCACGTCTTCAGCTCCCTCTCTCCCACGTTCTCTGTCAGAGTGTCTCTCATCACCACAGCCATTGAAGACCCTTCGAACCCTTTGATACCCACACTCCTCCTTCCCTTACAACCCTTCTCTTCGACCTGACCGAGGCTGTCACCGACCGACCTCCCTCCATCCGACGATCGAGTCGAGTCTCTCTCCGACGATCGAGTCTCGCTTCTCGCCGCTCAGTCCCGCCGGACTCTCTTCTGTCTCCGACCCGAACCAGGTATATAACTACAAATTGAATTTGGGATTTGGGATGTTGTTGTTGTTGTTGTAGAATTTGGGATTTTTTGTTAAGGGTTTTTGTAAGGGAAAAAAAAAAGAAAATTGAAATGTGTTGTTGTAGGGTATACGAGAAGCTCTGTTCGACGCTCTGGTATACGAGAAGCTCTCTCTCCAAAACCCTCGCCATACCCGAAAGTAAAACCTCTCTCTCTCTCTGTCTCTCTGTTTTGTGGATTGGATTATCAGATCTTGATGGGTTTGTAACAGAAGATTTATTTCACCTGATGATAAATTATTTTAATCTGAGTTTTTTGGGTTATTTCACCAGATTATTTTCAGCAGCAAGATCTGAATTTATCATCATGTAAACTCATCAGGTGAAATAATTTATCATCATATAAATTCAGATTAAAATTTTAAATAACCCAAAAAACTTAAGCGGGAGAGAGATTACCGAAGATTCAGAGTGAAATATTATTTATAATGATAATTATTTCTAATCAGGTGAAATAATTTATAATGATAAATAACCCAAAAAACTATAAATTATTTTGGGTTTGCTGATAATTTATAAGATCTGAATTTATAAATTATTTCTAATAGGTGGAATAGTTGCCTCCAGTATAGAACCAGGTAGCAATGCAGAACAGGTGCAGAATGGAAGGACGCATCAAAAAGAAGCAAACTCGCTTCATCAGGATCCTCAATACGAAAAGCAAGAATTAAAAACCGCCCTGTTGTTGATGTCTAATGGGAGCAGTATGCATTGGGTACGACCTTTATATACATGTATTTCATATTTGTTGACACCTATGTAAACACAATCTTTGCTTGAAATGTGGTTACAACATTTTTACTTATTTATTAATGAATCATCTTATGTGTTCACAGGTCATTAAGATGGTTATGAAAATGGATGCTGCTGAGCCCTTCAATGTTCCAGTGGATCCTGTTGCCCTGGCAATACCTGTAAGTGTAACTTCTTTATAGATGCTTCTCATGTGTATTATTTTAGGAACATGCTGCTAACTTTAAATTTATGGCCACTGAGAATTTCGGGTGCAATATATTTGAACCCAAATGGTTTGGAGGAAACAACTTTCCAGACATTTTGGAGTGGGTTTTATGTTGGTTAGCTCATCATTTGGGGGAGCAGAGTGGAACGTTTTTTTTTCCCATTCAATGCTTTTTGTCTTTTTTAAGAGTTAGGTAAGTTAGTTATGAAGACTTAGGAGTTTATTACGTAGGATAGGAGAGCAATGCATGGGTTGTTTCTCTATGTTTGAAGTATCATGTTCCTTTTTTCAATTACTGAAAGTGGAAAGTTCAAGGATTGATGGGGATAAGACTTCAAAGTCGAAAGCTTTGGTTGATTCAAAGAGTAAAAGTAGTAAAAAGCATGATGGTGGTGGTGGTGAGAAGATTGAATCAAGTGGGGGTTTAGTGGGAGAGAAAGAAAACTCAGTAAGCAGATTTAGCACAAATTAAGATTCTAAAGAAATAAGAGTAAGAGTTAGTTAGCAGCAAAGTCGTTAAAGAAGATTTGGGGCGAAAAGATAAGGTAAAGAGAAAGGAACGTGTGTTGGGAAGAAGATTCATGAAACAGAGGTAACTGTCGATGGTAAGAGCGACATCAAACGCTGGGTGAGGAAAATACGGTTAAGGTAATAAATTGTTGTTTTTAGTTGATTGATGATTGTGATGATGTGGTGTTGTTGGTGTTGTTTGTTTGTTCAAATTTTTACTATATAAACGAAAAATCTATAAATTAAGGCATAATGAATTGTAAATTAGCCATCTGTGAACTAGAAGAAACATACTAGCCAATGGGAATTGCTCTGCTCTTATTTAGATTTGGTAAATTGCAGAGATTAAGACCATGTGTTGTTTTTAAGTACACGTCAATTGGAGGAAAGTCAAATCATATAGTACCTTTAGTTGTGTGAAGACATATTGCTTAAGAATTATGCAGATGATTATAATCTTTACTACACACCACAGCTAATACAAGAGAGAGATCGTGATTACAGTATATGATATTTATTAATTTTAATAGATATTTTATGTCGTTAAGATCGACTGGATCGTTCGCATTCTAGTTACTGATTTTCATTGTTTTGGATTTAAATTGCTTCTGTAACTAGAGATTT